GTGTAATTGTTGACTGGGAGGTTTGGTAATTTTATGCTTAGAGAATTAATCAGAGTCAATATTGCAGTGATAAGAAATTGAGGTGGACACACTGTCAGGGAAAGAACAGAGTTTGCCGTGACTGCTTTTGCATTGACTGCTGGCATGAAAAAGCTGAAAAGTGTGATCATGAAAGAAGCTAGAAAATGGGTATAGGCAGTCAGTTAGGAACAGGGTGTCCCAGGTCTAAGTCTATTATTCAGTCTAAATGGAGAACAACAGCAGACCAGAGGGTGCATCCCCTCCCCATCCCCATCCCGCCAAGAATTGAGTGGTCAGGGCACCAAGACAGTAGCACAATGCTAAAGCAATGGACCAAAGTTAGTTTCAGCTTCGTTTCAGCAAGGCAGGCTGGTAACATGGGCAAACTCAGTGGGTCTTAGGCAGCCTTCGTACCCTTCCCAACCTTCTCCACCATGAACCCCATCAATCAGCAAGATACCCAACCAAACCCCCACTCCTTGTCACTATACCTAAATAAACGCATAGTTCTCACCACCTCAGTGGCCACCCACTAGGGACCCTTTTCAGCTTCAGAGCTTTCCTATCCTTTCTCTTGTCTATCAATATAAATCTCTTGCTTTTTTGTAACTTTGGTCTAGGTGCTGAATTCTTTCCTCACAAGAACCAAGAAAGGGCCTGCCTGGGGTCCTTGGACTCTGGAACTGCTCCCCAATCTCCCAATCCAATTACTTTATATATTCTCAGAGATGTGCACAGTCAGTGCTTTGTGAAATTATTTTATTACTGCAAGAGCCAGTATTTTGTTTTCAAGTTTTAGATTGTATCCAAATGAAAGTCATTAGGTCCAAAATGGAGTCTGAAAATTTCCACTAATTTTCATATGTCTTGTTTTTAAGGGCTTGATTCCTTTTAGTTCTACCTCCTGCTAATAAAAAACAAAAGCATCTGTACGGTGCATATGATATTACCCGTTTTTAAAAAATTATACATTTAAAGAGTAATTTTAAAATTACATTTCCAACAGGAAACACATAATGTCATTTAATACTGGAAGTTCGGATTACAAGATCGGTATTTGGTAAAAATAGGAAAGATGCCAACATTTTTAGTACAATCACAAGATCAGCAATGTTCTGAGAGATGAAGCTTAATCAGTGAAATTGATGGTGGAAAAAGGTCATAGAATATCTTTTTTATTGATGCACAGATACTAGGTTCTGCCATCTAAAAATAGAAAGATTAACTAGAGGCATATTTAAAATATGAGCTACAATATTTTAGAATTAGCAAAGGTTTACTCCTTTTTGTCTTCAGTGGATAAAACTGTGATAGTTGCATAAGCCATTGGTTCTTCCTATGGATAACATTAAAAATAGCTATTCAACCAGAAAATGTTAAACCACAAAGCAAATAAATTGGATAGGAATGAAAAAACACAATTTAAAAGACTAAATTACCTGATGATGAACTTGAAGTCTTTCAAAAACCAATAGAACAAACTTGGTGAACCTCCAAGTTGGACTACGCACGGTCAAACATGTTAAGGGCTTAAAAAGAAACCCGCAAGGTGAAAAGAAACATTAATGATTGGTGCTCAGTAGCTCAAGCATACCAGGGTAGCCTAAATGACCAGCTGAGGTGAATGCTACACTTGCTTTATTTTAAACCCAAAGCACAGATGCTAATAATTTAGCAGTCTGATTAGATACTGGTTTTGGTGCTTAATTTTATAAGAACAGCTGATAGTGAAATAATCAGTAAAAATCATTTATGAGATTTGTTTTTAAGAACTGGAAAAACATTGAAGTGTGCACACAGGCAAACACATTTGCAATGCTGACACTGGAGGGAAGTTCACCCTCTTGTAGTCTGCATAAATCAGCAGCTCTATAGAAGCCTGTCAATAAAATCTCCTCTGAAACAGCATGTCTTTTGGTTTTGTGTAATTTTAAGCTCTTCTAAAAATGGGTTCACTCTGATTACGTACCTATTTTTATTTTTATTCAAGAAAAACTTCCCGGAGTATAATTTTTGGGGTATTTAACTTTGCTTTTTTATGGTCTGTTATATACAGGTATGTAGTTTACATATCCAATTTCTAGATAAAATTTTAGATTCTGTGTCATTTACTTGCTACCCAAGTCTTCTTAACTCCCAACTTCAGTAAAGATCACTCCAGGCCTCGTCCCATGAAAATTCCCTTCTTACCTTTAGTTTTCTCTCTTAAGTTTCCTACATAGTGGGTTCCCAAGATGGGCTTGTTTTGACCCATTTTCTCCTCCAGGCACTGCATTTCTGTTCTGGCCTGGGATTCAGTGCCTGGTCCTGATGCTTGAATGAGAATCTCCTGGAGGTTGATTGCCTGACTCTTGGGAAAGATCTGCCCAGAGTTCTTACTGTGGATTTTCAGGCCCTTGATTGTCTGGGAAGTCAAGTGCTTGCTTTTGCTGAGTTGGCTATATCAGGATTTACTTAGTTTTAGCCACTATCAGTTCTCTATTTCAGAAGTAACACTCCTAGTTAGCCTATCTTTGCCTGGGATTTCCTAAGAAAAGTCTTTATTTCTGTGGTTTACCTCCTACATTTTAACATCTAGTCTATCACCCCCTTTTACTCCTAGCTTTCGTTTAAAAAAAACAGTAAGTGGTCCTCTGATTTTCTTTGCAAACTATTTCACTCCAGATATTATTAACTCAGAGTTCTTTATAATGATTTAAACACATTTTTGTTTTTGCAAAGATTGAAGTAAAAGTATGTCATTAGGGTTAGATAATTTGACACTGAGAATGGAAAGCATTATGTAGAAAAAATTTTCAAATTTTAAAAAGCTGCATTAATTTGTTTAATTTTTAAAAATTATATTAGTAATTGGAGAATAAAGCTTCTGAACGAAATTGGTAGAACACAACTAATTTTGGAATGAGATTATGAATGAGAAATAAAATCATTCTCTACATGAAATGATATCCTTCATTCTGGAGTATATTTGAGTAATAGAGTGAAAATTTTCTATTACTTTTTTGAAAACAGGAGGTCAGGATTCAGTTGCTGCTATAAGGGGAAGATTGTTTTGGATACTTATTAGGCTACTTATTGGCTTTCCCTTAAAAAAGTTTTGAATTTTGGCCTACATACAAAATTTATATAATATCAGCATTTAGGCATTAAACGTTAAAAAAAAAGGTTTTGATAAAATGAGACTTCGTGACTTCTTGAACACTATTTCTTGAAATCATTAAAATCATACAAATTATGGTGTCTTTTGCTTAAGTTCATTTCAATGGAAACAAAATAAAGAACTTGCCATATATAAAATACAATTGCCCACTCTTTGTGTTCCTTTTGCTTTCTGAAAAAAAGTATACCCTAAGGAATCTGATGTGTTATATATTTCTAAGTATTTTCCTGGGAAATCTCTTGACTACTTAATTTTTCTTCCTGTAGTTAGAAAACACAGGCTTTTTTGAAGTTCATATTAGGAAGTAATCAAATCTAGGAACATGAACAACCTTTGCAAACTGAGTCATAGATTCATGTGGGTACACAGAGAAAGAGGTCCCTGGTGTTGGTGTCCAGCTTGGGTCCCATTCCTGTGACTCCCAGCTGGTATGCAGACTGTCCAAGCTCAAGTCTCTCAGTTCTAAATAAGATTTTTCTGTTATTTCTAAGATCCTTTCTATTTAAGTCTAGGGCCTTCCATATTTGGCATCCAATAAATACTTTTCTTGGTGGAATTTGCCAATCAATCTTACCTGTTGGATTCCTAAATTCATTGAAAAGTATTTTGCATTTTAAGTCGTGATATTTTCCCCATTGAAACAAAAATTATAAGAAAAGTTCATACAGTAAAAAATTTTGAGTAGAAGTAATCTTTGGCCCTTCCCTGAAGAATCCTCTCCTGGACCTCACTTAAAATTTGTTTTAGGGCCCTCCCTGGTGGCGCAGCGGGTTAAAGCACAGCACTAAGAAGCTTAAGCTACTTCCACATGAGTTCGATTCCCGCCTGCCGGGAGGAGATCCACATGGCGAGGCAGACCTGACCTGCCCGCTGCTCCTCTCAGCAGTGTACTTTGTTGATCTGCCTGTTCTGCTCCCCACTCTGTCTCTGGTGAATCCTCTCACTCTCTGCATCTCTGGCCTGTACCCCAGCTCTATATGAATAAATAAATAAATCTTAAAAAAAATTTGTTTTAATTTTTTACTTTATGAAGTTCACGTTTTGAAGGGGCATAACTTATGGATTCTAGGATATTAAGTCAGTCAGTCATAAATTCCAGTGAAGGTACTCGCTAATAAAAAAAGCATAGAACTGGAAGCAAAATAGTCATAATGAAAATGCCTAAACCTGTTAGCTAATTTCATCATAGCAGTACAAATTATAGAGTTGTCTTTTCAACAAAACTTAATCAGACTCAATTATCAATTTAAAAGGCACAAAGTAATATCACTGTATGAACTATATTGGCATGTGGGTGATCAGCTGCTGAAAATCAGGTAGGTTTTGCTTTTATTTTCCCCTATTTAGAGATATTTTGGGAAAGTTGAGTTGAAATGTGCACATAATTGAGTTTAGAATGTAGATAGCTCACCTTTACTGGAGATCACTGCAGGAAATCAAAATGTTTTCAATATATACAGATAACATAGCAGGTGTTTCCACATCTGTTTTATATACTAGTTCCTAATGGCTGAAGGATATTTCAATATTCAATACTTGTTGCTGATCAGCAAATATACATAAAATATTTTTTTAAAAGATTCTCCCTTTTATGGAAGCAGATTCTCACTTTTAGGCCCAGAAATTTTCTACAGATGCGATGGAGCCTGGCTCAATCCTCAAATAATACTAAATCGTATTTTGTGATGCTTGTAACTTGTCATCTACTCTATCTGTGCAAAAACTAATCAAAGTTATGGATAAATTTTGATAACATGAATTATTCAAAGTATTTATATTTGGCTTTGGACATAAGGTAATACAATAGGTCCTCAAGTAACATTGTTAAGTTTTAATGTTGATCAGAAAAGAATCCTGTTGAACAAAACTATTATTCAAGGGCCTGGTTTTGTTGTATGTAATTTCACTTAACCAGTTTCCAAGAACCTATCCTAAGTGCTATGTGAGGACTCACTATATCGTAAGTGACATAGTAAAGAAACAGAGAAACTACTCTTCTCTACTGAGTCCTTCCACCTATCTGAGGGCAACCCAAGTCAGTAATCCTTAGATGAAATATTACAAGATTTTTTTTCTCTGATAAAGAATATGTCCATTAACACAAAAGTCTCTTATTATTTCTACAATGTCCACAAATCCTTCAAATTCAGCAATGATGGCATAATGATGCACACATTATTGAGAAGAAAATGTTCATCCAAAGTAGAAAAGCAATTGTTTAAAAATCACAATACGTCAAAAATATTTTTCAAGGACAATTTTCATTTACCTGGTAGGATTTTCCATTAAAAATATAAAATATTTTGAAAGAGAAAACAGAACATCCAAATAATCTGTTTCGTTTCTTCATCATATGCTGTCTCTTTTCAGTCCTAATATTATATGATTTTAGTCAATATAATAAATTAGGATGTGTCTCACTGTTTCATGAAAGTGGTAATCAAAAAACTGACTAAGGATTTTGAAGTCTGCTAATATAACCCTTTCAATTTACAGATAACAAAGGTGGGTCCAAGGGCAGTAATGTAACACCCAACAGTGCCCATCCATGAGCTATCAGCCAATGCCACTGCCTCCAAATTTCTCTAATTGTCAAATGTTTTGTTTCTTTTATTAAAGACTTCAGAGTCCTTGTTCCCATCGCAGCCAAGTGACATTTAGTAACTATGGGGGATGGGTAGGAATTACATTTTTAAAAGAGATCCTCAAGATTATGTCTTGTAGTTAAATGCAAGAACTGCAGATACACATCACACTGCTTGGAGCAGAGGATGTAGAGGAATGAGTACGTATGTGCACAGTTCTCGGGCTCTGCTCACAGCAGCAACCTCCTAACAGGCCTCACGTTTTATGTGTCTCCCAAGTATTTTCTCCCATTTAGATGGAAAGCTTATTATATGAGTGACACCACCTGAAGTCAAGCTTACTTTTCTCTGCCAGGCTTCCAAAGGAAAATGAAATTCCTGAAGGATAGATAATTAAGAGTTGATCTCTAGACCTTACTTACCATCTGCTCCAACCTCATATTATATTAGTTAAATTTAGCTCAACTCCTGAAAACTTTGCTTATTGGAATCTATCCCTCACCATGCAACAGTCGTGAGCCTTTGAAGGCAATCTGGGATTTGAAAATTGTTTACGTTATTTCAAGTCATGGTGCATAATGATGTTTTCTAAATTGTTAGATGATATTAGAAGTCTCTGAAAACCTTTTAATAAGAATTTCCTAATCTTTTTCGGTCATTAAAAGTTTACTTTTATGTAATATCTAATAACAAAATTGATTTATATAGAGATAGTGGAAAGCAAAGTCACTTCTAAGATCTTCCTAGTAGAATTTCAAGCACCTCATTAACATTTTTGTCAGTTATTAATGTAGATTTTACGTTTACTATATGCAAATTGTGGCCAAAATACAAGTTTCTGTCCCTTAAGCTACTCAAGGATGCCACAGCTTAGTTTAAGGCTTTTTAGTGTCACACACTTTAGGAAGCACAATATAATTTAGTTTTCAATGAAATGTCATTCCTGATCTTCTTTATTAAATAAGAAAGTGAACCAGTCTTTTAACTACCAATTTTAAGGAAAAGATTTGAAGCAAAAAGTGAAAGACTTACCTCTAGATGTGTGTGACTCCAAACAAAATAGATGAACTAAAATCATACTACAACTTTAACAAAAATGTGGAACTCAGCATTATTAAATTTCTTTTCACATCCCTTTCAGGAATGCTTGTTACTTAAATTGACAAATTAAATGCATTAATTTAATTACATAGTTTATAAGGCAGTCTCAAAATACTGGCTCTGAGAATCAAGTATAGAGTTAAAGCCATAATTGACTACCAAATGGTATATAAAAGGTTTTGTGAACATTTTATCATTCCTTTAGATGTCCGATCTGTAAAACTTGTGACAATTTACTTAAAAGAGCTAAAAGGAAGTCAATGGTATCGGATTAAGAAACTATGAGCTGTATATAGAAATCAATATTAGAGATGTGTATAATTCTTGTTGTTTCAATTACTTGGGGTCAAAGAAGTGGTTAGTTAGTACATGTATCTCAAATGCCTTATGTAGATACCCATTAAAAGGTATACAAAATATAAACAGTATTACTGTATATTTTCAAAATTTTAAATAAACACAAAGAATAGATAGGTATACATGTTATAATTTCAAAGTCAACACTAGCACATATGTTTTTCTTATCTAAATACATACTAACATACGACCTATTTCAACTCATGCACCTACAAACACATGGCCATGCACATAATCTTGCTTTTTGCCACTTGCAAGAAAGCTAGAATATACACTATAGTACACTGTATCAACTTAAAATCACATTGGCAAAGTAATGAGGATGGGACTAAAAAATTCGATTTAAGAAATCAAAATACAGAAAGGTAATTTTTCCATAGAATAAAAACACTGAAGACTGATGGGAATAAGATTTCAATTGCTTGTCCCATTGATCTTGAATGATACAGAAGCGACAGGATTGGTTGTAAACACTCCGGATGCTCTGTTTGGAAATTGGGACTTTTTGTAATCTAGCAATCCAGGCCAGAGACTCAGACCATTGATGCTTCAGATGGCAGAGAAATAGTGTAACTGTGGGCAGTTCTCCGCAAGGCAGGGGGTGCCGATGGAGACCGTGAGGCCCATCTGGAAGGGAGACGGCGATTTGCTGGCCTAGCAGGTCGGGAAAACCCTTTTCCTTGGGAGGACTTCACTGCCATGGATTCCTAAGACATACAAAAGGACATTCATCTCGTTATGAAGGCACCAAAAGTGGGTTTACTATATTATTGAATCCAATTATGGGATTAATTAATTAGCATACACGTACAAAAAAAGCAGTAAAAGTTAATGATTTATATGCTTATTTAATACTTATCTACTAATTATGGTCCTGATGTTTTAATCAAAGCAATACACTTTTAATATAGAATATGACATTTAATAATTTTATAGTTTACTTCACAATGACACACCTTAATACAACTGATCTCTTTTAGAACTCATTAGTTTGGAATAGAAAAGTTTATGTTTGAGAACTTTAATATGATGAAATGACACATTTCTTAGAGGGTAATAACTAAGGATTTTTGCTGTTATGTTAAAATAAAACAAATTATAGAAGAAACTGAGTTCACTTTAAGCAAAAGGCATGCAAACTACCAAATTCTTTAATTGATGTTATTTTTCTCTTCCACTAGGAATTGCTCTTACTATCTCAAAAAATTCAAAATTATCGGCCCTTCCTGGTGGCGCAGCGGGTTAAAGCACAGCACTAAGAAGCTTAAGCCACTTCCGCATGAGTTCGATCCCTGCCTGCCCCGGAGGTGACCACATGGCGAGGCAGATCTCTCCTGGCCCGCCCGCTGCTCCCCTCAGCAGTGTACTTCTTCCATCTGCCTGTTCTGCTCCCCGCTCTGTCCCTGGTGAGGCCTCTCACCCTCCGCATCTCTGGCCTGTACCCCAGTTCTGTACGAATAAATAAATCTTTTTAAAAAAATTCAAAATTATCATTATAAACTTTCATAAAATATAGCTTTATTATAATTTCTAAAAAAGAGTTGTTATCAGAGACAGGCATCGTCTGATGACTGAAAATCTTTTCCTTTTCTTCCCCTTTCTGTCATTTTTTCTTTTTTTAATTTTGAAGAAAAAGTACTCAAGGACCCTTACAATTTAAAATAAAACATTTCTATTATATATTATTTGTTCCTATTGACCTTTTACCAAAATCTATGCTCTTTCATCTGAGATGGGCTATAAAGATGAACTTAATTTTATGACAGTCTAGATTTTTCTCTTTCTTTAGTCTTATTTTTTAGACTTGTTCCCAAGTGTAGGAGATGTAGAATTAATCCTCAAGATCTACATGCAAGATCAAATCGGAGAATCAAATCCCCAACCAACGAGTGAAAAATCTTTAGTAATATTTCTTGCTAGCTAATGAGAATATTGGTTAGTTGTTATATACATGTTTCCATTTCCCATCTGAAGCTACAGGACCTTAATAAAAACAGAGAAATGCAAAAGCAAGAGAGTTATTTGCACATTGTACAAACAGGCAAGATGTTGATAATGTAGATAAAAACTGATATTTTGCAAGGTTTGAAAACCACAGTAAGATGATTTTTTTTTTCTACCTCAAAAGGAAGTATAGCTTAAAATTATGTTGCATGGAGTGCATCATATAAAACTAAAAGTTTTGAAGCAATGACCAATTATAACAATATGACACCTATGGAAATTATCTCTAATTTCCACTTCTAGGTAAATACCAAGCCCTTTAACCTCTTTTTGCCTTTAAGTAACAAAGAGTGCCGTCTTTTGCAAACAGACAAACAGAAAGAATAATAGTTTATTTAAATATCCATCTTTCTTTTTGCAATTTAAACAGCAAGAATTTATACAAATATCAATGTTAAGCTGTAACATCATTTTTCACTCTCATGGTTGCCTTTTAACTCCCAAATAAGATAACTGGAACAGACACTATAGAAATGATTACACTCACAGTCATGTGATTAACACCTTGAGAAACAAACAAGAATCAAGCATTGGGAATGACTGAACTACTCAAAGCTAATAACTGAAAACTATTTAAAAAATATTTCCCATAAACTTTAAAAAATATAAACTTTAGGACCTCCCTGGTGGCTCAGTGGGTTAAAGCACAACACTAAGAAGCTAAAGCCACTTCCACATGAGTTCGATTCCCGCCTACCCTGGAGGTGACCACATGGCGTGGCAGACCTCTCCTGACCCACCCGCTGCTCCCCTCAGCAGTGT